GTGTATTATTTTACTTAATGTAACCAGCTTGGGTTTAAAAGTATTGAGTGGGTTACGAAAAAGCAGTATTAAAGTTTCTGGGCCATGGCAGAACAATGTCTTGCAATTGAGTATAATGATTGCCAGCATTGCAGAGAAGATTCACGGTATTTGAAAAAATGTGAAGTGTCTATCCCATATTGGCCCGCGTGGTGGATTATGGCCTTCGCCCTTTTTAGAAGGCCGCACTGCCCTGCAATGGGATATATACGTGAGTTGATCGATGCAGTACCGTAGGGTAAAAGCGAAAGACAGTCTTATTCTGTCTTTCCGGTGGAGTGTTGCCATTGAAATCACGTATTAAGTATCTGTCAAGAATTGAAACCATAGTTTCCCAAAGTGAGCGCTACCGCCTCTCAGTGGGCGCTGAAGAGTCGTAGGGGGTGGTAGCAATTGGGGAGCGTTGATGCTGTCTAGGGGGTGTTACCGCATTTGAAAAAACAAAACCTGAATTTTTCTATATAAACTATATATACACTACATATATATTTTTTCCTTGTGATTTTTTGTATCCATATAAAAAATACGTGTTTTCAATAATTTTTTTCGGTGGTTGAAACTTTTTTATCTGGTCTAAATGGACGGAGTTTGTGTACCTATGGTTTAAACGGCATCATTGTCAAAATGTTATCGAAAAATAAAGTAAACACTGGTTTAACCACCTTGGACCCAGCAAACTACAATGGATAAAGCACTAAAAGCCCAACTTAATAATAAAAATAAAATCTCTCTTTATTGCCTCTAAAATAAACAAAATTTACTAAAAACCTTAAAAAAAATCACTACACTGAAGATGCTAAGTAAATATTTTCGGATTTAGAAATTATGATTATTACATTAACAGGAGGCAAAAGGAGGCGTCTCGGCTGATAACGGTTACCGTGCTGGATTGTCACGCAGAGGTCCCGGGTTCGATTCCCGTGCCGTGTGAAATATTTGTATGGCCTACATTTATTGGTCTCGTGACTTCGGGTTTAATTTGTGGTTGTCTACCTAGGTATGTGTGTGTCCATGGCACCCGCGATTGGCCGGCCCGAATTCGAAACAATTGACGGGTGTCGTCAATTGTACCGATGAAATGTGAATGCGTTTGTTTTGTAGTTAGATGTTTTGCTGTTTTTCCCCACACCGCCGAATGGTACAGCACGCTATTGTTAGAGATATTATCTTTATTACAATAAAAACAGAAAATTTTTGGTATATACGGAGACGTACACACAGGTCAGTTGTTGGCGCTGTACTATTTCAGCTTTCTAATTTGTAATTTCAGTGCAAACGAGAGTTGATATTTATAAGTGATGTATCACTGATGTGTTACCAGGAATGCATGGCCCTTACTTCGTCTCTATTTCTGGTTGTATACTCGATGTTACATTTTGATGTAATGAATGACTTCCTAACATCGTCATCCCACCTTTTGTCGCCTGTTCTCCTGGCCACTTGTTTTTAAATTATGAATCGTTCTTTAATTCCTTTGCCTCGCCATTCTGATTTTGTTTCGTTCCATGCATCGCCAGCCTGCTCGATCACGGCAGCGAACAGTGCTGCTCTAATTTGATTTGCGTCTAATTATGATTCTTTTACCAGTTTTAATACCAATCTGTAATAACTTCTACTAATCATGTGCCAATTTTAATATCAATCTGTAATACCGTATAACTCGACCATTTTGGGCCTTTTCTTTACCTTAAACTCTACAATAAATTTCTGTGGACCTGAAGTTTTTATATTTTGCCTGGTCACGGCGCATAGTGGTTTACAACCTTTTCACACTAACACTTACATGGTTAGTCTAGCTAGACGAGCAAACAACAATGTAGCTGCCGATTGTCTTTACATTCTGTTACAAAACAAATTTTTTAAAGTACTGCTTAAAGTACTGCGTACTGCTACCAGTTATCTATCAAAAGTTTGACAGAGAATTCGTAGAATTTTATGTGGGTCGAAATGAATGTCTAACAAACTACGTATCGGCGCGATGCGCATTCGGAACGCTGAAAACTGCGACTCTCATTGCTCCGATGGGATTTCGTGCGGCAAGGCGTCTATCTCACTGCCACGGAGCAGGTAACATTTTCTTCAAGGATCGTCAACCGTACTAAACGTATATAAACTAGGTAGCGACATGACTCGTAAAAAGAGTGTTGCACTGCTGTTATTAATAAGAAATAATAGGAAAAAAACACAAAGAAAATTAACATTGCAGAAATACGTGATACGGAGCAATTCGCAAATTGTTATGATGCGTCGTGCAAGCTCGTAAATTTCTGTCGAAACACAACACTTATACTGCAATACGGAAGCGGAAAGACAACAATGCCACCGTGCTGTCCTTCGTCTTACACGGTTTAACCTATAGAACAGCTCTGAGAGCTACAGACACTGGTTACAATCCAGTCAGATCGAGAGAATTTTCCTTTGTGTTTGTATCAATAACAAATACAAACCAGTGGAGTATTTTCACAAAAATATTATGGTCATTAACATAGTAATAGTCATTGACTTACAAATAAATGGACGACGGGTCTAATACACAAACCACGAAAAAAATGTCCCAAGTCAACCTATTTAAACGTAGTGACATTTAAAGGAATATGAAAAAGCTAAAACGTTGAATTTAAATTGTAATGTCATCGCAGTACTGTCTAATTTTGCCCTATAAGTTCGGACACTTTTTAGCGCGGACCCGACGTCCATATAATTGTAAGTCAATGGTAATAGTACATTACTTTTACATTTACATTTAAATTGCCTCCGCGGCCGAACGGTTACCATGCCGGACTGCCACGCAGAGGTCCCAGGTTCGATTCCCGGGCCGGGAGAAATAGTTTTATGGCCTACAATTATTTCTCTCGTGAGTTTGGGTGTAATTTGTGGTTGTCTATGTGTGTGTCCATGGCACCCGAGACACAGGGTTTCCCCAGTGCGGGGCTATATTGAGTGTGTGCGTTATTTATTTATTATTACTGCAGAGGCCGGGAAGTAAAGGATTGCTGGACGAGTGAGTTACAAGGCCGAGCGCTAGCAACGCCTTGTATTGATAAGCAATCCCCGTTTCGGCCGAGGCGTCTATAGTTCTTTTTTCAAACAATGCGAGGAAATAATAAAATACTAAAGAGAAGATGTAAAATAAAAAAAGTGAAAAAACAAAATTAATTAATATTAAAAGTATAATATTATATAAAATATATAGTGATTTTCTATATTCTTTGTGGTGATATTCGTGATCTCTATAGGTACTCCTGCATGCAACGTTTATCCCCAAAATTAGAGCAAACTGAAACAAAGGTTTATTTTTAACCGGCTTCAAAAAAAGGAGGAGGTTCTCAATTCGTCTTAAGATTTTTCTTTGTATGTATGTTACGCGATAACTCCGCCATTTGTGAACCAATTTTTTGATGATTCTTTTTTCGTTGGAAAGAAGGTACGTCCCATTTATTTCAAGAAAATATTCCACCTCTATGGGTGGGCAAACTAGGGGATGAATGACTTTTGAGGTCGGTTTTTTTTTACCGCAGGTTAGGTTATACTGTATCGAAACTAATGTCCTTCAATGTTACACATTACGACATATAGACGAACTAACCTTACTTAGTCCTTAGTTCTTAGAGGATGGAAAAAAATTACATAATCTAAGCCTTAGTTACTAAGAAATTGTCACCTGGAGCCTCGTTTAAAAATTTCAATATGTTCTCTGCAGTATATATTTTTGGTGTTTTAGTTTTGTAACTAGCAGATTGGCGCTTCAGTAGGGACTTCAAGTTACTGTATTCCAATGATGACGCTGTGTTTAAATTGGACTGTACCTATGTTTGAGTATGGAATACATGGCTCATAATGTTGATGGCTTTTGAGTTTTAGTAAGTTCGCTAAAATAAGCTACAAACAACAACAATCTCTGAAAACGAATTAGCATTTTTTTCGCTTCTCCATTGCATGAAAGTCTCATATGTTTTCATGTATCTTACTTTGCTCATAGCCGACAACAAGTTTTCCATCGTTAATATTGCCTCGTTTTAAATTAGGAGTAGTGCAATCCATTTCTGTATATCCGTTACCGCTAGTCTCACTCATTTTCACGACGAAAAAACAAAAAAAGAATGTCAAAGCCCTTTGGTTTATTTTACCGCCTTTTTCTTTTTTTTAAGTAAGCGTAGGTATTTTTAATTCATGCAATTACTAACACCGGACAGTTGGCTGTACGAGTTTTTCCTTTGCCTGTTTACATAGTTCATCTAGATTTAAAAGTTTAGAAAAGTGGACAGTCATAGGGTCGTATTCCAGAACTCTACTCAATGCTCATGTCAGCACTTGAGTATGATTTCAAGCTCTAGAAATCATACCCAAGTCCTTGCCATTAGGGTCGTATTTCAAGTGCTTGAAATCATACTCAAGTCCTGGCTTGAGCTTTGAGTAGAGTTCTGGAATACGACCCTCAGTGGACAGTAATAGATTTTCATACTTACTTTGCTGGCCTTGGCTGGGAAGAAGTCTCACGGTCCTTAAATGACTAACTTCCCATGTTCGTCTTTTGAAAGTAATGCAAACATTTCCCAGCACGTTTGAGATAATACATTATAGGTATTTATTAGAAATAAATATAATAACGCTGGTATTAAACATATTTTTATTCTACATAAGCATTGGTATGATACAGCAATAACTAATGTATTTGAACATAAAAAACTCTTTATAAGTACTCTTTGATAGATTTTGAGATCGAAAACGTAAACAAACAACTGTTAACGGTTAATGACATTCCAAAGAATTTTATCAAGATTTCTTTTGATAAATCGGTTACTATAGGGCCTATTTTCGATATTAAAAGTACCTACGTATATTTATTTTTGATGTAGATTTCATTAAAATTATAGCTTGTAGCAAAACGCTCTTTTACGGCATTTCCGGCACAAAACACTATACAAACAAAAAAGCCATTGATTGTAGTTTCCTGCAATGTTGCCATCAGAATATAAAAGTTAATACAACAATCAGCTTTTGTAACCTTATATTATTATCAAAATAACCCTATTTAAGAAAAAGGTTGTTATGATATTTTATTTGTACGTGCACACTATTTAAGTACAATATAAAAAAACATCTTTTTTAGAACTTTTTCGTTCGAACATTTTAACGATTCTTTAAATATTTTTTAAGACCTTACCTTTGTTCATATTTTATATCTCGAATTCCATCGCTCCGCATAGCAAAATTAAATCTAAGCAATGTAGCTACTGCTTTCAACCTAAATCTTTCAAAGGGTGGCAAGTTACTTTTGGACCCGAACGGTGGCGTTAGCATTGAATTTCGACATTATGTATAACAAGAAATTGGTACTTTATATTATGAGATGCCAACTGCAATCGCAAAATTATGAAGGAACCAGTTGCGTGAGCATCTTGACGACAGTTTTCTTATCGAGCTTGCACTTGGGATAAAGCGTCTGGCAGTTGTTGTCGAGGGACCTGCCCGCCGCTATTGCCTCGTAGATCGATGTACCGTCCAGCATGCGACGTATTAAAGAGTTACTGGAAAAGGTAAATATCTAATTATCGTATGTACCTATATTCTAGCGTAAATACAGAAAAGTGAACGATTATTTATGTGTGCATGCTACACCGTCGACCTCATCGTCACTTTCCATTAGGCGAGATGAAAGTCAAAGCGCACTTATTCTTTTATAACATACAACAATAAACACGTATACTATTTGATGTCATTTCTTAAACAGCGAACGCAATTCTATAAATCAGTGGCGCGTGTGACGACCCTCGCTGCGCAAAGCGAGTACCGCGCGAGACTGCGAGTGTGTGCGTCTTTTTTTTATAATATCTGATCTGAGGGGCACCGCCACTGCGTCCTTCACCCTGAGAAGTAAGGTCACAAGGTCCATGTGCCTGTAATTTCACCAGCACTCTTATCAGTACTGCCACCTTACGTATTTCTGCCGCCAAGCACTAATGTAAGTATTACTGCGTTCCCATTATGAAGGATAAGGGTGCTGACGAAATTACACGCACGTGGGACTTGGCAACTTACGTCTCAGGGCGACGGGCGCAGTGGCAATGCACCTCAGATCTTTGTGATTTAAAACACTGATTGACACTGCAACTGTCATGGACAGGCGTGTCGCTTATCACCAGGCGCACGACTTGTTCGTTACATCACTTGGTATTATAAAATAAAAACTTTGTCAGCAGACAAGCTTACCCGGAAAGATTAGTCAAAACAGCGTCAAAATCAGTAGCATTGCCCGCGACCATATTCTCATTAGCTAGTTGTACGTATGAGCAGGCAAGTCTTTGCATGCAGGCCGAGGAGTCTATGTTGTAATGACTGAGGGTACTGTCCAGCTTGTTGAGCATATCGGTTAGTTGGTGTAGGTCTGTTTCTGCACCTGGAGAAAGTAATACAAATAATTGCTTTTCGTTACCTACCATAGTTGATGTCGTTCATATGAACGACATATGTATACATATACATATAGTCATTTCGATATCTAGTCGTTTTGCTACTAACTCATTGTAAGTTATCGTCTTTCAGCAGAGACAGTCGTTTTGCAATCTCATCCTTATGCTGATCACGTAATTTTGAAGATATAGTCATTATGAGACCGACCCTTAAGAAACAATAAAAGACAGTTTACTCTATATTTTCTAAAGCCCAAGTTTTCGGTGTCTCAGATTTCCAAAACAGGCGAATATTATTAGGTACTAGAGGAACTTTTAGTCCAGTAATATGTCACTTCTCTTTACGTCTTCGGGCCCTTTACAGTAGCACGATAAGGCGCGACTTGAGCGAGAGCGACATAAAGCGCGAGATACTGTATTCTCGCATAGAAATCACGCGCTCTATGTCGCTCTCGCGCATGTCGCACCCTATATTGTGCTAGCCCTACAGGTCCCATGGTCACGGATTGTTAGTAGGGTGATTTCTATCAAATTTATTTTTAACTGACTTCCAAAAAGGAGGAGGTTTCCAATTCGACTGTATTTTTTTCTTTTTTTATATGTAACGCGATTTGTGAACCGATTTTGATGATTCCTTTTTGTTTTCTTTTTTATTTTTTTTGTTGATTTCAATAAAACTTTCCAAATAGATGTAGTTCCAGGAACCGTATTTTGGTCCATTGTCCTATAGCTGAATCGTATTGTTTATTTTTTACTATTAATTTGTGTTTTATTTTTTATTTTATTGTATGTCTAAGTAAATTTTGAATAAGATTTTTTATTTCTTGATAAAATTATTTGAACAATATTTCGGTTGCCCCAGGAAATTTGTGCAATCGATACGTCGGATATTTATATTTATGTATTTTATTTTATTTATTAATTTAATTCACACGACATGACCCATATAAAACATACCTTAAGGACTAACATACATACAATATAATACACGAATATACAAGGCCTACCGCTTAACTGAGACGGTTCCTGAGGTAGTTGCGCGATGCGGGAGGAGTGACAGTTTACGTACACTCCGTCCTGCAACCGTCTAAAACAAGTACGGTACTGTAAGTATTACTTATTTGACAGTAATTGTTTTGGGGTCTGGGGTCGATGTCGGAACAGAGAACGGGAGTAAACCCACACGGAACGGGAGTAAACAGTTATGTCGCGCTGCACAGGGGGATAAATTCAACAAGATTGAGATTTTCTGAAGATATTCAATAACAAGTTGATTCAAAAAAAATATGGCCTGGCTTTTAGGTACACGTGTCAAATCAGAATCATGTAAGTTTGTGAATGATTACATTACAAAGTACCCACTTCGACCATATCCGCCGTATCCATAAGAGAGAGCTTGTATGATCTTAGGCAGCACGATGACAGCTCCGAAACCTAGAATGGTGCCGATGAGAACACCACCGAGGTCGATCTTAACCGGTCCGTAGAGCCCTGGGGCAGACGCGCCGTACGGTCCCTAAAAGGTAATTTTTTAAAGTTGATATTTACGCTCAGTTTATATTTATGAGTAGGTACCTATTTAAGTCACATAGAGCGGTTGAAATATTTTTAGTTCTTTTTGTGACCGTCATGGGCTTGGTGGTAAGTAAACGCCTGTCCATAACAGATGCAGTGCCACTCGGAAAAATAAATCACAAAGATCTGAGGGGCACTGCCACTGTGCCCGCCACCAGTTGACAAGTCCCATGTGCCTGTAATTTCACCAGAACCCTTACCCTTCTAAACCGGAACGCAATAATGCTAACATTACTGCTTAGCGGCAGAAATAGGTTAGGTGGCAGTACTTCCCTGGACGAACTCTTTCACAAGGAGCTCTACTGCTGCATAGGGTTCAAATTAATATATTTGAATGAGTTTACCTGCGATCCAGTACTTCCGTAAGTAGATATACCAAATCTCTGCGTCCGTTCTGGCTGATTATCCCTATCTTCGCGACTCTTGTCTACCCTTGCTGAAGGCTCGGCAAGCTGGTCCTCCGTGCGGTAACTGGTGCTCGGCATGAAACCTCTGAAATCAAATCTGGGTTGGGTAATGGGAAGAGTTCTGTTTTGATATTTGAGGTCTGAATAGAGAGTCATCATAACCACGGAAGAAAACAACAATGAAAGTGCCTCAAACTTCGTTTACCTACTATTAGAACCGCTGTCGCCAAAACTCACATATTCATTACTCGAAACACTATGAAATTTTGACAACGATTAGTCGTAGTTTTTAATATAAAAAGAAGTAACAAATTCTGGATTGTTCATATAATTTAAACTTCACCCTGTTGGCATATCGTTGAAAATACAATACCTATTATTGCAAGTTTCGAAGTTTTGTATTGAAATTTCAATCGATGTGCTGCCATCTAGCTGTCAATGACTGAACGACGACGAATTCTAGATGTTTTCTTAGTTCTCCAATAAAGAAGCCACAATATATTACGATAAACAGAAAAATGAAAATTTATTAAAATTAAATAAAATGAGAGTTAACGATGATATGAAACATCACTATAGCTAATACAAGTGCTACTATCATTTTTGCAATCCAAAGTAACAGATAAGTCATTTTTCTACGCTTTTCGAGGTTTTGAGTAAGATAATTAAAACAACACGTTGCTGATAATTTTGCGCCTCTACATATCTCAATAACTACACGCTATTTAGTGTTTATAGTGCTCCAGTATCATAGCCTGGCACATATTATTAGAAGCCCGCATGCATTCGAAGACGATGCGTGCTGTAAGTTTTCTCACATAATCAATATAATATTACGAGCGTTTGGGGTAAGAGGTAGGCTACATTAAATTTTTATTTTAACTAATTGTTTTAACATATTTGAAAGCGAAAATATTGTATAATTGATCTGCAAATCATTTTGTTTTTTTATATTATTTTGTGGTGTGAAAGCAAAGTGACCTTTTTATCTACACAATATATGTAACTATAGATGATGTTATTTAAGACTAAATTATTATGCAAATGTAGATAAATAAAGCTAAGCTTTATAATTATTAAATTAAAAGACGCATGTTGCGAATGAAGCTTCATACTTTCGTACATTGTTTTTCGATTAATTTGATCGAATATTACTTATTTAAAAATAATTATATCGGACACCTGTCGGACGGAGAAAGGAGTAGATCCCCTGATACAAATTCAAGTACGACATTGCTAGCGGTAGTATTAGGTATGTAGTTACAATTAATTTTATAAACGTCTATGTATATTTTTGTGATAATTATTACGTCGAACCCTTGCAGAAACAGATAAGGTGCCAGGTACATCCCAGGACGAACTCTTTGACAAGGAGCTCTACTACTATACTTGTGAGTCGTAAAACAAGTATTCTTACCCATCATTCATATACTCCGCACTAACCGCGCCCCAGACACCCAAAAACAACAGTAAAACCACTTTCGAACTCATCTCTCTCAATTCTTTAGCATAACTGTCGTAAAATACCCTAGCATTAATGCTTTATACGTGACGTTCCATCGCTTGATCCCGAACAATCGTATGGGGAAACACACGAACAATCGCACATACTTACTAAAAACGTCCCAAGATACCAGACTAACTTGACTTATATCACGTAAGTATTATTAGAGAATCAGGTGTCAAGAAATATTGGGAGTTGTGCAAGACTATTGTTGTGACATTGCACAATAGATTACAGAGTGACAGTGGTTACGCGTTGTGGATGATTGTATCGAAAGGGGAAGAAGTTTGGAATCGGGTAATCGGGTGAAAGACCCCTGAGCACCTTGAGTAACTTCATAACCCTCGGAAGATGAAGCACTAGACGTTGAGTCAAACAGTCTGCCGTAATCAACTCACATCACAGGCTCTCGTCTCGAGTGTCGATCTCTCTACTTGTGTTTCGACCAGTACTAGAATTAAGACTAAATTTTAACTACTTCCGTAACCAAACTTACCATGCTAGGCTGTCACACAGAGGTCTCGGGTTCGAGGAGGGAGAAATATTTGTATGGACTGCATTTATTTATCTCGTGAGTCTTTGTGTAATTTGTGATTGTCTATGGGTCGTATTCTAGAACTCTACTCAATGCTCAAGTTAGGATTTGAGTATGGTTTAAAGCACTTGATATCATACTCAAGTCCCTGCCATTAGGGTCGTATTTCTAGTGCTTGTGTTGCCAGTGCAATCCTGACTTGAGCATTGAATAGAGTTCTAGAATACGACTCTGTGTGTGTGTCCATGGCACCCACGATACTGGGTTTCACTAGTGCGGGTCTATGATTATAATATTATAATTATGTGCATTTTTATTATTATTAATATTATGACAACGCGATTTGACATTTTCGACTGGGCCGTTGTACAGTTACGCACGGGACGTAGGTCAATGCACAGGACTGCCAATTTGAATTGTATGCGTGACTGTTTATTAATTATAATGTCATCACTACTCAGTTTTTTGTAGTAATTAATGGTTAACGGTGTTTCACCAACAATCATTTTGCATACACCCCTTTTGCATATCCCAAATTTCTATCCTAGGGTTGCCTGGAAGAAATTGCTACATAGCAATAATGCCGCCTGTTGCACATTAACTTACTATCTTTATACTTACTATACTGTCTTGTATTTTAACTGTAATTTTATGTGGAATAAACATATAGATATAGAAAAAAAGGGTATGGTCAAAATGACCATCTCGAGATGATACGTCTACAAACATCGCCACAGTGACATGGCGATAGTTCGAAGCGAAAAGCATTCACGTTAAATTGATTTCTTTTATTTTATAATTATTATTATTACTAAATATTTTATTTCGAGTAACTTTAACACAACTCATATTTCGGACAACCGTTTCAATTTCATGTCAATTTGGATGTTGCTGTTGAAGAAAAATTTATGTCTTTTAGATATTTAAGATATTTAAATTCCATTATACTCGTAGATTAAACGCAGAGTATTTTTAATTTTTAAGTTTTTCCAATTAGTTCAAAATAAAAGATGGTTGGATTGAAGCTACAGGAAAATCGAAAGATTGGTTTTCTTATTACTATTTCTGACTTTGTTTCAATTTCCATAGCAAATGCATTTAAAAAATAAATAAAATAAAATCGGCTTTGTTTTACTTGTGCATGCAAAATAAATTAGAAACAATTATAGAAAATTACATAAATCCTTCATAAAAAAAACAACATAATTTAATTTTTTAAATTCGTTGATGGTTCGAGTTTACTTTTGACAGTGACAGCTTCACCAATCCGTGGTAACGTATAATGGAAAACTGACACTGGCCCAAGCCTAGTGGCCGCCTTTAAGAAAATAATAATGATTTATATTAATATATTAATTTAATAATACACCAATACCAGTGTAGATATAGTATGAAAAATTTAATATTTTTTAATATTAAAAACAGCCCATGATTTCCAACTATCGATTAGGTAGGACCACATCCCTCGTGGAGTAGCGTCAGTTTAAGGTTAATAAGGTTAACAATTCACGGAGCGGTTTCCATCCGCGTCCGCCGGTGCTGCTAGACAGCGGTTTTATTTCAATACTCACGATCCTGCAAGTTTGTGCGGGCACGTAGCTGCCGCGGTTGCGGTTTAATAGAGAACTCACCCTGCGTGCGCCTGCACCACATTGCGCCTGAACCGACCGCCAAAGTGTGCGGGGGACGACCGCCACCAATCGCGCAGGTCATCGCGTCCTGTGCGGTTCTACTAGTACTCGTACCCTGCCGCGGCAACCGCGAACAACCGTCACCACTACAGGCGTAAGACACGTCGTGAAATGTGTTACTAATTTTACATACTTAACTGTTACATTCTACAGATGCCGCGGTACCGCGGCAGACGCGGGTGGAAACCGCTCCGTGAGTTCTTAGTGTAACGAAAGATGAGTTTCAGCGCCATCTAACGTGTAAGAGTTAGCTATTGTATACTAGTAGTATTTTTACTAAAACGCCACCTATTGGTGAATGGCTGAACCAGAATAAAAAAAATACTGAAATATTGTAATATAACTCTTATTCAAGTGGCAGTAAGTTTAATTTTGTTAAACTTTTAAATTGTTTTACGTCGTTTTCACGTTTTAAGCCCCACCCAATCGAAATATTTAAGTTATGGTAGTAGATAATTGAGCGTAAAGTTTGATTGCACACAACTAAAAAATGGCGACATCGGCACCCGATCTTACATAGCGTCATTACATATCTCCCCTTTTTTTCTATATCTATGGGAATAAAGATAGCGTGTAGCTTACCATCAGACACACGACTTGTTCGTCCCGTCACTCGACATTATAAAAAATATATTTCATTCATTCATTCATTCATTACATTTACTCTTAAAAGTGACTTGTTTTAACTGTGTCTACTGTTTGTTGACCCAAGTATCTGAAAGTCCTCTGCCGAGCTGTTCCGTCAGTGGGCGCCGGGCCTAAGGCAGTGCAGAGGCAATTAATATAGATGTATTTAATTCACAAATTAGATGTTGTCTACATCTTCCAAGTTCAATTGCACGCAAGACTGGTTTCATTCACACTCAGTGTCGTATTCTAGAACTCTGCTCAATGCTCAAGTCAGTATTGCAATTGAAACACAAGCACTGGAAATACGACCCTAATGGCAGGGACTTGAGTGTGATTTCGAGTGCTTTAAACCATACTCAAATCCTGACTTGAGCATTGAGTAGAGTTCTAGAATATGACCCTTGACTGTGATTTATAAAACGAATTTTACTTAAACTTTTGGTTTATTTCGTTATTTCTAGCTTAAACTTGGGCAAAATTCGTGTTATAAATACGAAAAACTTGGAAAATCGCCATTTTTGTTTAGCCGACGTCAAAGTTAGTTTTTAACCGACCTTATAAAAAGGAGGAGTTTGTGAACCGATTTTGATATTTCTTTTTTGTTAGAAAGAGGGTGCCTCTGTATTGGTCCCATTTTTAGTACCTTTTTTTTTTTTTTTTAGTACCTAGCAATCGAGCTCCTTGTGAAAAAGTTCCTCCAGAAAATTACTTCCACCTTAGGTACCTATTTCTACCG